GAGAGAGAGAGAGAGAGAGAGAGAGAGAGAGAGAGAGAGAGAGAGAGAGAGAGAGAGAGAGCTTGTGCTGCCACCCGTTCTTTCGCCTTCCTCCCTCCCTCCCTCCCTCTGTGGGGCTAACCTCCTCCCAGTTTCCGCCTGCCGCCTGCCTGACCTCCTACAGGCTTCTTTCTGTCTTGCCACCTGCTCTCCCTCTCCCCGACCTCCTCCCTTCTCTGCCTAACCTTCTCCTGACTGATGCCCTCCTCCATCCGCCCTCTTTCCCCCTGACTTCTGCCCGAATCAACTCTGGCATTTCCCTGTTCTCCCCGTATCTTCTCTCATCTCTGCCTGATCTCCTCCATCCCTTCATGACACGCCTGCCCTCCCTCCTTCCGCCCTGGGCCCTACCTCTGCCCAACCTCTGTCTGCTACCCCCCTGATTTGTTTTTGCCGCTTCGACCAGCTCTCCCTCCGCCCAACCATCTACTGTCTGATGCCTGCTACTGCCACCTGCCCTCCCTCCGCCCTCCCTTCTGCCTTGTTTTCTACTGACTTCTGCCTGACCTGACTGCTTCATTCCCCCCTTCTCACTGCCATCTCTGTCGCCCCAACTCTTCACCCTTCTGCACTTCATCGTCCACATACGAGAGCGAGAGCGAGAGAGAGAGAGAGAGAGAGAGAGAGAGAGAGAGAGAGAGAGAGAGAGAGAGAGAGAGAGAGAGAGAGAGGTCTCGGGAACCACCTGTCGGAAGAGGGGTAAGGGGTAAGTCGTGGATTGTCTCTGAGGCAACATGTCCTTTCATTCGCAAGGGTTGTCTGAATCTCACAAATTGCAACGAACGGTTCAATGAATGTGAGGTGAAGAAGTGGTGCTAATATATTATCGGGAAGCATCTGTTTCACAGCAAGCAAGCCCACCGACTTTGTTCTTGCCAGCTAGACGTATGACTTTGTGTATGTGTGCATAGGGACCAGCCTTGACACCGCCCACGTGTTCTTGCCAGTTAGGTAATGACTTTGTGTATTCTCGCATAGGGACCTGCCTTGATACTCTACCCAGGTAAAGAAGTGATACTGTATTCTCTTTATGCATGTCTGACAGACAAGTAAGCCTGGCTACTTGTCCTTGCCAGTTAGATGTGTGACTTTGTCTTCTCGCATAGGGACCTGCTTTGGTAATCTACCTGACGTGTATTTTAATAGATGCATGCGACAAGTTTTCTGAGTGCGAAGAAAGATGGAGGCACAAGTGGTGGAGCATGTGGTTTAATTCGATACAACGCGCAAAACCTTATCAGCCCTTGACATATGAATGAAATTCCTCGTGAGAGATGTACTCGACTTCATACAGGTGCTGCATGGCTGTTGCCATCTCGTGTCATGAGATGTTGGGTTAAGGCCTATGGTACGGTGGTGGTAGGTGTATAATCTATGCATGTGTATGTTTACTTGCCCAGCTGTGGATGTGCAATGTTATTTGGGTTTGCATGCTGACAGTGTTGCAATACTGAAAGTCTGCAAGATTACAGTTCCGTTTTGGCGTTCTGCCTACAAGGGTCGACAGTGGTCTACCGTATTGGGGAATGCTCTTTGTGATTTATCTCCTGTCGTGGAAAGCACTGGTGGTGCCTGACATGCGTTGAATTGAAAGCATGCAAAACTATTGCGAAGCCGTTGGCAAATGTATACTTTGTGGGCTCTCCTTTCCGTTATTGGTACTCTGCTAACGACGGTTACTTGATTGCGTACAGGTGAAAACAGACACATTCTTTCCAGCAGACTTGCTTTGCCTTGCGAGCACTAATCCAGATGGGATTTGCTACATTGAGGTTTGTGCACCTACCATCATCTGTCCTTTAACTGTATCAAATCCTGTTTCAACTGCCTTACCAAACTCTTTTGTGATCAGGTTTGGCCTCATGTGGTTGGAACTGCTTCCCATGCGACCTGCATCCTTCCTTCTGGGTGCATGTATTGGTCATAGTTGGTTGGCCAATTTGAAATTGGAATCGTATCTACTGTCATTCCAAGGATTGGGTTTGGCAACCCCTGTCGGAGTCAAGCGAGTTTTTATTGAAATTTTGAATTGCATGAGCCGGTTCTCATTGTGTTTCGAAACGGTGGTCCCTGTCTTGCTGTATCTCATCGCCTCCACGTCTGACCCCCGATTTGGCAAGTGGTCAGAATAAGCACTCATTTTGACTGGTGGTCTCACCAGTTCAAAAGTTAAGCTCTTGACCACTTGCCAATCCCTTCTGACATGGAAGACATTTACACAAAACCGTTGCTTCGCTCTACTCGACAGTCTGGGAGGAGCATACCTATATGCTATGTGTCCTGTCAATTTGTGTGTCCCTCGTTCAGACTCAACCTCGGAGATAAGTTTTTCTTTTCCAATAAGCCTTAGGAAGTTGTTCACAGGGGAAACTGCCTCAACTACTCGTGTTCAATCAACCTGGGAGATTGTTTCTTTTCCAATAAGCCTTAAGATGTTGTTCACAGGGGATTGTTTCTTTTCCAATAGTTGTTCACAGGGGATTGTTTCTTTTGTAATAAGCCTTAGGAAGTTGTTCACAGGGGATTGTTTCTTTTCCAATAAACCTTAGGAAGTTGTTCACAGGGGATTGTGGCTTTTCCAATAAGCCTTAGGAAGTTGTTCACAGGGGAAGCTGCCTCGACTAGCTCATGAGCTCAAGTTCTTCTGTATACAATCATGTTAAGGGCCACCTGCTTTTCAAAACAAAGGAGAGAGATGTTTATGCAGCCATTTTGCGAGAATGCGGCCATGTGAGCTCTGCGTCTGGCGGGATGTATCATGTTCAATCAACCTGGGAGATTGTTTCTTTTCCAATAAGCCTCAGGAAGTTGTTCACAGGGGAAGCTGCCTCGACTCCTCATGTTCAATCAACCTGGGAGATCGTTTCTTTTCCAATAAGCCTTAGGAAATTGCTCACATGGGAAGCTGCCTCGACTATTCATGTTCCAGCGCTGAGGTGAAGTGTCTGTATTATTCTAATATAGGCCTTAGTAGGTTGTTCACAGGGGAAGTTGGTTTGACTACTGATGTTCCAACAACAGCTCTCAGGTCAAGTGTCTGTAGAGGCGCAACTTTTGCACCTCGTTTACGCTTTTGCCAGGACGTGCTGCAATCTACAGGAACTGTGGTCGATATTGTCGTTTGAGGTTTTTGCATTCACTAACCTGTGCTAGGTTTTGTCTTACTCAAGCTAGCTGAAAATTGGTGTTGCGGCGGTTTCTCGTTGTTTGTCACCTGAGCGTGGATGTTATATCGTGTCAAGTTTATAGCAACTTTATACGTTTAGTGACCTGTGTGACTTGTTGTCTTACTGCAGATAGCTGAAAGTTTGTGGGCTGTTTCCTGTGTCTTTCTTCTGCTTTGGCCTTTTAGACTATGAATCTCGATGGAGAAACAAACCTGAAGATACGCAAAGCACTGGAAAGAACATGGGATTGCATTGCAGCGGATCAAGCAATGGGCTTCCGAGGTGCTTGTTCTCATCCGTTAGATCCTTGTGCCTGCAGTTCTTGTGTCAAGCGGTGGTGAAAGTGATGTGTTTGTTTGTTTGTTCACATTGACTGCTCCTGGTGTTGGATGAAAATGGATGATGGTAAAGGAAGCAATGAGACTTTGATATCACGGAACTCAATGTCTCACAAGAAGTGACGTCGTCTGTAAGGGCAGTGTTTTTACCTCTAAAAAGGCTCTAATCATCTAATGGCTGTAGTACTTCTGTTCCATGCTTGCCTTACGGAATGTCTTGCTTTCTACTATATTGCCGCAACACCTACTTCCCACTATTATACTAACTCACCATAAGCGGACAGCACCTGTGATTTTTTGACAGGAACCGAACTTCTGCTGTGTGAGGTCTGGAAATATTTATACTGGACCTATCAGGCCTACTGTAAAGGATGAGCCTGCAAGGCCTATTGGACCTGCCGTACAGTGCTTAATGGGTGGGGCTATAGTACATGGGACAGTGGGAACCTGGTCCCGTTCCCGAAATTGGAACCTCCATGGTGGGGTTCATGAAATCCTTCCACAAGTATTCACATATGGTGTGCACCACTCAATTTCCTCCTGTGCGCCCAGATCGTACTGAATGCCCAAGGTCAGCCACGTTGCCACTTGCTCTCAGATGTGTCAAACTCAGCTCCTGCCTTGTTCAATCCTCTATATTTCTGAATCAGTACCTTGTGCATGATCAACTGTGCTCGTAGAGCTGATCCCAAAAGTAACACATGCTGACTGATCACATATAAATAGGTCAGCCCTCCGGACAGTATTTGTAAACCTTAAGGGGGACATACTGTGAGTAACACAAGCTACGGTGGAAAGGAAAGGAGTGAGGTCTCGTCTTTCTCTAGTTTTCTAGTGGACGGGAAATGATTGTGGTCTTGTCTGTCTGTTGTTTCCTTGTGTTTTGCCTATTTTCTTTTCACGAATCAGGGCATGGTCACTCCTGTGCCTCAGTGCTTTTGCTCTTCTTCCTTGAGCGTGGAGATAGAGTTGGTCAGTTTGTTTGAGGTGGATGGGGAGTGCTAACCTGTGGGGGCTGTAGATGTGTGGGAATGGCAGTGCTTTTTATGAAAGCACAGTAGGATGAAGAAGGTGCACCACCTGCTTTGATTTTCCATGAAAAACGTAATGGAAGGAAGAAGGATACCAACGGGCTTAGCTCAGTTCGTACATGCATAAACTGTTGAAAAGAAGACCTGAGTTCGAATCCAAATGGAACCACATGTTCCTGAATTACCTAGGGCTGATCAGTTCGATATTTCTAGGATGTCGCCCTGGCCTAGCGCTGGTGCCTGCAACTGCTGTATGGTATATCCGAGGTTGTGCCGACAGTGGCCCCGTAGATGGAGAAGCAGGGGTTATGCGAAGGAAAGAAGAACGTTGAGGCAGGAAGGGGTGGGTCCTCTGAGCACACACACATTTTAAAAAAAGGTGGGGGCGGGGGGGGGGCAGGGGGGGCTGCGCGGGGAGAGAAAAAGAGGATGAAGAAGGATCTGTATAGGGTATATGGTGTATGCAGCACAGAAGCTGTTCCTTCAGAGCAATCGGAAATTGCGTGCGGAGAAATTGGGAATTCTGCGTGGTATGATTTGCCCTCAATTATGCTGATCCTCTAGAGTAGGTCAGTTGTATGGGTGTGCCGTCATTTATAAATGGTTGCGTCTTGGCTGCATGTGAAGTGTTTCATCATAGGTTCACAGCGCTACACCTCTTATCTAGTGTGGTATTTAAATTTTGAACCTTCCTTGTTTTCCTGTTGGCAGGCGTTGTGGAGTGCGAGCAGCCAAACAATTCCCTGTACACGTTCACGGGAAACCTGATCATTGGCAAACAGACTTTGCCGATTACTCCTAACCAGATCTTGCTCCGGGTGAGCTGGATTCCTACCTTCTCCCTTAGGGACAAATTTCTTACAGTCCTCCTCTTTGTTCCGCAACGAAATGTAACTACCTCAGACTACCTGACAATACTCATGTGCCCGACGGGCCCCTTTGCATCCATCAGTGTTTTAATTTTTGTCATAATTCCAAACACCCATTCCCAGTTGCAACTTATGTCCTCTACTTGCTGCTAATTTCCTACTTATCATCTCTAATAATGTAAGTCGCAAGAGTATTCCCGAATTGCTTGTTCTCAATAGAATTGAAGTTACTCCATACAGTTTGATGGCTACCGCGGCGACCTTCATGGCCTGTTAAGCTTGATCTATGTGTCCATTACTTCCTTGTTGCCCTTCTCCTACAAGTGTGGCACAGACTTGACAACAGATCGTGCGTTGGCATCTTGCTAGCTTTCTGAGTAGAATGGGGTGCTGTCGTATGGTGTGGGTCATTCACTTCAAAAAGCAGTTAATCAATCATGCTGATGGTGAAGGGAAATGGGAAGTTCAGGGGCCTGCCTTTTCTAGATGTCTTTTGTTTTTTCCCCCCCTAATAGGTGGTGTTCCAAGTTTGGAAGATTAGCACCGTTTCAATTTTGTGTGTCGTTTTACAGGAAAAAAGTTCAAAGAACAGGAAACCAAGTGCCCTCACTAAACAGGTTGGCAATGCTGTGTTTTTTTTCTGAGTGTGTGTTTCACAGGGGTGCAGTCTGCGGAACACAGAATGTGCTGTTGGAGCCGTGATCTTCACAGGGCATGAAACCAAGGTAGGAGAGCAACCAAGGGTCGTGCTTGGCCTCTGTGTGCAGTGAAAGGTATAGTCTCCTTTCTTGGGGTCGGCATGGGACCTTGGTTGTCTGTGTTTTGCATTGGCCCAGTAGCATTAACTGTGATCTTAACAGGGCATGAAACTAAGGTAAGTTCGTAACCAAGCGTCATACTTGGCCTGTGTGTGCAGTGAAAGATTAGTTTCCCTTCTTGGGGTCGGCATGGGACCTGGGTTGTTCGTGGTTTCCATTGGGCCAGTAGCATGTTGCATTTTCCTTGCTCGTGAAGAGCATGTTCAATGAGGAGGGAGGGGGATGGGGCAGGTAAGTCTTTGCATTTACATGCTTATCAAAGTAAGCCAGACTTTCTTTATTTTAATGCTTTTTTTGTTTTTGTTTTTGTTTTTGTACTTTTTTGACCCTACCCACCCTCCTCTCTTCAATCTTCCCGGTGCACCCCCACTCCCCCAACCCTACCTTAGTGTCTACCACGGAGGACCATCACCCTTCTACCATCTTGGCAGGCTGACCTGACTGGATAGTGGTTGCAGGCACCAGGGCTGAGCAGAAAACCCACTCCGCCCTGGTTAAAGAATTACTCGAGCGAGCCCTCTAGTGGGCATCTTGTCAATCGGACCGGAAACATTGCAGATACTTTTTGTCAGAATTTGATACCTTCACGAAGTACTCCTGTTTCTTTCGGGGAATGCCTGGAAAAATTTTCTGCTATTTGGGGAACTGCTTTTAGGGCGTACTCGCACTACTGCTTAGGGCATACTCGCACTACTGCTTTCTCTTCTAACCAAATCAGTCTGTGGTTGCGGTCAGATACATCCAGGAGAGCCCCACTGTGAGCACGCCTAAGTTGCACCATCTTATCTGTTTTGCAACTGGGTTAGGTACAAAGACCTGAAGCTTTCACCTGGAGCAACAGTGCTGTGCTATGTCCATGTACACTCGCATCTGTTTTTCCACTATGTGAGAGGACAGAGATCTGCAACGTTTTACCTTGAGAGAGCACCGCTGTACCATGGCCTTGGAGACTGCAGTTGAATAATGACTCATAGGTGGTGATCCTCGGTTCAAAGCCTAACATTGTTTCACTGATCAGTGTCTTGTACCGTACTGACTGAGCCATCTGTGTGTTGGCAATATGGTTGTGATGACTGGTTTTTAAACTGAAGGGCTGTCTCTGTCTCTGTCTCTGTCTCTGTCTCTGTCTCTGCCTCTGTCTCTGTCTCTGTCTCTGTCTCTGTCTCTGTCTCTGTCTCTGTCTCTGTCTCTGTCTCTGTCTGTCCTTTTTGTTCTGTGTGTAACTGTGCTTGCATGTGCATGTAGGTAATGATGAACACAATGGACGTGCCTTCAAAACGGAGTACGCTTGAGCGGAGGCTGGACAGGCTCATTCTTGTGTTGTTCTGCGTCCTTTTTGGGATTTGCTTCATTGGGGCCATTGGAAGGTTTGTGATTTCTGCCATTTGCCTGTGGTATAGGGATGACTTGCACTGCTGACACCTTTGTTTTGTGTCCAGAAAAGTATACAGTCATTTTGAAAGCAGAGATTGACGTTTGCCTGTCTCTTTTGCAGACTGTGGTAAGGTGACTGAAGTGAGGATTGACATCCCTGGCCAGGAGCCACTTCTGTGAAACGTTGTGCACTGTTTCTTAATACGCAAGATTATCCCTGAAAATTTGGTTGTTCATCCGTTTCTACAAACCTAGAGAAGATACAAGGTTTTCATCCCGTTTTCTTTGAGAATGTTTTCCAGCACTACTTACGTGGTGTTGTTACGAGGGGGTGGACTATTTATATGGTGTTGTTGTTGTTGCAATGGGTTTGTGCAAGCAGCGCATCGTTTGTCAGTGAGAAGTACTGGTACCTGCAGCTCCTCCAGGCAGATGAACAGTATAACCCCAAGAACCGTGTTTTGGTGAGCTCCTCCAGCTGACCTTTGTTTCCTTATGCGTAGAACTGTTTTTGGAGCAGGCAGGGAATGTTACCCTATTCCGTGATTGATTTAAGTAGTGGTGGTCTGAGGTTGCACGGGAGAGCTGTTATTGTGAGCTATGTCTTCATTCCTGATCTAATGTGGGGAACATTCTGTGCCTTCTTGAGTTGTGTCATGGAAGTATGTTCCAGAGGGAAACCTGTTCTATTTCTGAGCTGTATTTGTGTTGCGAAAACCCCCTGTGAATGACTTGGGCGGGGAGGGAAAGCAAGAATTTGTTCATTTGCCCCTGGGGCCCAGTGGGAACTGGTCATAGATCTATGGAATTATTTCGTAGGCCTACAGTTTGAACAAAAGCTGTGGAGGAACCCAGTCCTTGAAAAACTGGAAATTGACAGGTGCAACATTAATAGGCCACCCGATCTGGCGATGAGGTGGTCTACAAGTGCTGCACGGTGAAAAGGAAAGAAATCTTGGCCAAATCTAGACCAGATGTACCTGGATCTAGCCCAACTCACCTGGTACCATCGTGTGTGTTAAGTTAGAAAGGAAAGTCATGGGCCTTGAAGGCCTTACCTGATTTTCTGATTGGGTGGTTTCATGCGGGCATGGTTCTACAGGCCTCTACGTGGCACACACCCGTTGCAGTCAATGAGAGGTTTCTGATTGGGTGGTTTCAAGTTATAACGTGCTCATTGCTCATGTTTTTTTATATTCCTTTGTCGCGGAGTGTGGCATGTCATCGGAGGTTCCGAGGTGTTGTTTTTTTAGGGTTTCTGTGCTCTTTCAGTGCTTATTACCTGGTGGTCAATGACAAGTAGGATGCTGGTCATCCTGTGGCGTGCTACTGTGTGGGTTGGGTTGGAATCACCCAGGCCATGTAATACCACCACACTCTTATAGTATCTCCTATAGTGGTGCCGGGGCATTTTCCTTTTTTGTTGCATTGAGGGAGAGAGAGAGAGAGAGAGAGAGAGAGAGAGAGAGAGAGAGAGAGAGAGAGAGAGAGAGANGAGAGAGAGAGAGAGAGAGAGAGAGAGAGAGAGAGAGAGAGAGAGAGAGAGAGAGAGAGAGAGAGGCACGGGAGGGGAGATGCAAACAGAAATGTATGGTAGAGAAAGAGGGGAGAAGCGGGCAGAAAACGGGAGGGAAAGAGGGGGGAGTTGTTGGCAGAAATGCACCGGAGTGGAAGAGGGGAGATGTGGGCAAAAATTGACGAGAGAGGAAGAGGGAGTGATGCGGGCAGAAATGCCCAGGAGAGAAATAGCGGCAGGCTGCTCTCCAAGGATATTGTGCAAGTGCCAGATGCATGAGGGCGATGATTGACAAGTGGTCTCAAAGGTGGCGAGCTGGGGGGAATGAGGAGGAGCAAGAGACAAGATGGACCAAAGGGGCTCGGGCTAAAATGGTGAAGGCAGAGCATGAGAAAGAGAGGACAATGGGGTTCGGAGGGTAGGGGAAAGCAGCTCTAAAACCAGCTCCCTGTAAGACCTCTGTTCTCTCTCTGTCTCTCCACTCCCCTCTGCCCCGTGCTCTCCAAACCCCATTGTCCTCTTGTTTTTGTGCTCTGCCTCTGTGCAATTTAACTGCAAGTGGTCCCTCTTGCACTTGAAATATATCGATGCTCTCACAATGAGGATAGAACTCCCTTATTTGTGAGAGAAAGCTGCAACAGGTTGTCTAGTGAGTATAGCTGACCTTTCTAGTACAGGGGATGGGAATCCTCTGTATGAGGTCATAGGAAAGCTCTTTCCTAACTTAGCATGTGCTCCATGCATGAATGATGCTTGTGTTGTTTTACAGGTTGCATTCTTGAATCTCCTGACGTTCTTCACCTTGTACAGTACAATCATACCCATATCGCTCTATGTTTCAATTGAGGTACGACCATCAGTCCCTTCTCCCCTATCTGGGCTCTGCCAAGCAGCAACCGTCATCCATAACGCAAAACACGAACTTGAGAAAAGGCCAGACTTCCTGCATTCAAATGAAAGTGAAAAGTGATAAAGAGTGGAATATAATGAAGCAAGTTACAAGAAGAAGAAAAATTACACAAGCTGCTACCAATGTCATATCCCTGTCCTCTGCCCCGTCCCTTCTGCTTCTCCAGTTCCCCTGCTCCTGAATGATCAGATAACTAGAACAACAAGTGAAGGAACACCCTCTTTTCAGCCTCACTCTCTCCCACTCCTCTCGGTTGTACGTCTAGCTATGGGGCTTATCCGTGTCCACCTCAGAAGTTCAAAGAACAATGCCACTATTATTTTGCATCTTCGGACTGTTTCGGTCAAAGCCACACTCTCGAATGAAGTCGGTATCCACTGGGGACTTCTACATGCAGTGCCAAGCAAGGAAGTGGAGATGGTCTACCATGGCCAAAGGTAAGTCTCCCATGCTGGTTCCTTCCTCCTTCCTCTCCCTCATCCGCGACTCTCCACTATTATTTTGCATCTTCGGACTGTTTCGGTCATAGCCACACTTTCGAATGAAGTCGGTATCCACTGGGGACTTCTAGATGCAGTGCCAAGCAAGGAAGTGGAGATGGTCTACCATGGCCAAAGGTAAGTCTCCCATGCTGGTTCCTTCCTCCTTCCTCTCCCTCGTCCGCTACTCTCTTCCTCCACCCTTCTCCATAGCCTACGTTGAGGTCGTTCACCCCCTAGCTCCATAGCCTAGGGATGTACCCCATGTAGCCATGAAGGTCGTCTTTCACCCTGTCTCGAGAGCTCGGCGAGAGCTCAGCCTGACTTCACCCTCTGGCCGGGGCAGTTCTCTGGGCGGAGCAGCAACATAACTGTTGTGTGTGCCCACTCATTGCTGCTGAATGATATACTCTTGCTTCCCCGGCCTCCAGCCTTTCTTGGCCGGGTACTGCTGCCTCCTCTGGCGCACTAACTTCTTACCCCCCCCCAAAAAAAAATGTACGTACGTTGTATACGAAGACAACGTACGCACGTTGTGCAACGAATTTTGAGTTACAACTTTTCCATGGCGGCCCTTTACGGGGTACGTTGTATTCGAAGACGACGTACGTACATTGTATTATAATTTTGGGTTATGAGAGGGCGGCCCTGGAATATATGAGAGGACCCTCACTTCATGTCTTTGATTGGAAATATATGCTGATTTCGGTGGGGAAAAAAGAAACAAACAAACAGAGAACTAAATCTGGTAGCAAATTTCAGCAGTACTCTCAGGCAAAAGATGTTTGTATTGCACTGTTCTTCGACCTTTTTTTTTTGAGCGATTTTTTTTAAGTGCAAAATGTCTGAAATGCAACAGACTTCGAACACACCGTATGTACGTTGTATTCGAATACGTGTGTACGTTGTATTGGACTGTACGTTCTATTCGGGAAAAAAGAGCGATTTCTAAAAGTCCGATGTTCGAAGGTAACTCGAATAGAACGTATGTACGTTTTTTGGGGGGGTAAGAAGGTAGGCCTACCTGTAATTTCCTGCCTTTGCGGGGGAGCATTATTAACCTGAAATCTAGTTAGGTACGGGCCTGAACACGTGACCTCTTTTGGAAGCCACTGGTCGTCCAGAGTTCACTTGGGCCTACTCGGGTTGCTCGAAAATCCCTACCGGGCACGTATCAAATTCTGCTCGTGTCCTTCTCCGTCGTGGCGTTCTACAAAGTCTGTCTGGTGTCCAATCTCAGTCCTAACCCTGTACATCTACCTATTTCTGATCTACCCCTCCTGGGACAGAAAACACAGCACGAGAACACGGTTAGCTCATATCATAGCAATCATGACATACAAGCGAACAGCAACCTCACTCAGGACACGGAGATCAGGAAATCAAACTGTCCAACAACAATACTCAGAAAACTGCATAAATCTCAGACTGATTCTGTGCAGCTCATTGCAGACACCTTTGATGTTTATTGTCAGATCATATTTGGAGTACTGCTTAAACTACCAGTACCTGTTAATTGTTGGTCTATTGGGCGCCGCCAGCCTTTTTTGTCCACTAGGCCGAGCCTTTCTTTGGCCCCACGTTAGCGGGCTGGAGCACATGGCATATTGGGGCAGGGTACTGGTGGTTTGTAGGGCAGGAAAGTTGTATGTTTTATACCCAAGGATAGTGTCTTTCTTGTGTATGTCCTGCGACGTTTACTGGAGCCCTCCACAGAAAGAACATCCCTGTGACGGACATTTCTGTTGCTCTTTCACCCACTCATCGGGCAGTTCAACCATGAACTGGACCGATGGCTTGAGATACACCATCTCATCCAAATTCTTGCCAGGTTTGGTTGCCTTCACTTGTACATCCTTGAAAATTTGGTTTCAGCTTCTAGTTCAAATCCCTGACAAGGCGAGTGATACGCTTGGGAAAACGAGCCTAGCAAAGCTATATAATCAACTCAACATGCCCACTGATTACATGTGTTCAAAGCTATATAATCAACTCAACATGCCCACTGATTACATGTGTGTTTGTGCGTGTGGCTGGGTTGGTGCGTGGGAGGATGATGGGAAATTTGCTTCCTTGAAATGGTACCTTTGGTAGTCTTCCGCTGAAGTTTTTTCTTTCCATTCTTGTTGGAGGTCATCCGAGTCACGACGAGGTGTCACCAGTAGACCCTCGTAAGAAGCGCAGCAACACCAGAGAAAAAAAAGGCATGGGAAGGAGAGCTCCTGTTGCATACTCGTGAAACACAGTCATAAGTATGGCGCAGATTCCCAGAACCGACCAGATAATACAGAGTACATACAAATACAGCGGAAGACTTGAGATACATGGATTGATTCAGACCTGACTCAGACTGCAACGAAACACTCACAAACATACATCGGTGGTGTGAAGTCCTGGCCTTGGACATAGAAGAAAAGGCCGGGGCAATTCTCATACACGGATGAATGGGGGGAGGGGAGACGAAGGGAGGAGGAGAGGGAAGATGACGTCAACTCGATGTTCCCAAAGATAGTATCTTGAAATGTCAGAAGTAACGAAAATCCGAAATGTCGCGAACACAGAGTCTCAGTGTCTCAGATATCGATCTCACAATGTCAAGGTACATCTTCAGAGGTAGACGAAATCAGATCCCAAAAGTAGTCCTCCACCTACAGTCTCAATGTCGCTGTCTCCAATATCATCAGAACTTGTAACCATCCTTCATACCCGTACTAGTCCAGTAGGAGAACCCAGGAGTAGACTTAGAAGGTAGGAGGGGAGAGAGAGAGAGAGAGAGAGAGAGAGAGAGAGAGAGAGAGAGAGAGAGAGAGAGAGAGAGAGAGAGAGAGAGAGAGNGGCGGAGGAAGAAGAGGGAGAGAAGGCAAGGCCTTCCTCCCTGGTACCTGGTTGGGTAGCTATGGCGCTGCAGCAGGCTGGCGCTGGGCCGCGGGCTGGGCCGGTGGCTGGCAGCTGTTCCAATGGCTGCGCTAATTCCTCGTTGCCGCTGTGCTCAATCTCTCCTCACTGCTCATACTAATGCTGCTGCACTGCCCTAATCCTGCTAACGCTGAAGCACTGCGCTAATCCTGAAGACTATCCTCCTGTCCACTCTAACCTACCGACTGAGGCTGGTACCCAGCTGATATAGTGCTGGCTCGGCCTTAGTCCTGCTCAGGGCCTTCGGGTCTGGACCGTTGATCAGGCCCAACGGTTCAGATTCGATTTCGGAATCTGAAAAGTGGCGCCAAGACTGCACCGTTGGCCGGTCCTACCGGTGGACCTGGTACCAAGCCTAACCAACTAGCCGTTGGGTCTGGTGGGGTCTAAACGAGGCCTACCGGACCGTAAACTGAACCAACGGGTCCTAGGCCTACCTGGACCTAAACGGGGCCCGTCGTGACCCGGTAACTAGGCCTGAACCGTGCCTGCTACAGAACCGGGCCCTAACTGGGGCCCGTGTGGTATCAGTATGCCACAGCTCCTCATGCATATCTTCCTGGTTAAAAGATGCGCACATATCGGAAATTATTAGCTCGGTTGCTCAAGTCCTTCTGTATACAATCATGTGAAGGGCCACCTGCTTTTCGAAAGAAAAGGAAGGAGATGTTTATGCAGTGCTGTTTGGGTGGCTCGGATCTATGCTGATTCTTTTCAGAACCTTGTTCTGATTGAGAACCCCAGCCTGCTCTTTTTGTGGCAAAGAAGGTTGCCCCACAGAATGGAGGCCTGTCTTTCCCTTAACATTTTCAATGGCTTGCTAACTCCAACTGTGGCACTTACCCGGTTTTCATTGAAGACCCTTCTTGAACCACCAGTACGTTTTTCCAGTCATTTTGGGAGAATGCGGCAATGCGCACTCCGCATCTGGTGGGATGTATTGGCCTCCCGCCAGGCAAAAATTAAGAGTTACACCCCTCAGGAAATGGCCTTTCTAAAGTTCTTGTTCTTTGGAAGATCACCTTGCTCAAGTCCTTACCCTCAGGAAGATGTCAAGGATATTCCTTGGCTTTGGACCCAGAATCGTGGACAAGCGTACACTACCTGCTCAGGCTGTGTGGGCACTGGCTGTTTGTAATGTAATTGACAGGCTGAAATTCTTGCTTGACCTAACCCTAGATGGCTCCTTTGTGGTGTGAAGCTGGACGTGTATTGTTTGGCGCTAGGGGTATCTATAGGGGATGGAATATTGAGAAATGCTGGATGCCCTCATCCCTTTCAGTGGCGGTGGGAGTGGGAGTGGGGGTTGAAGGCCCCTTCATTTTTGTTACGTAAATGTGGCTGAGCCGTACACATGTAACTGTTGAAGTCATGAGTGAGTCCTTATGGAATCAGATGATTCAAGTACGGTTATGGCTACCCCTTTTGTTTAAGAAAAGAAATTTCAACCATCGTTTGCCAAATTGCCACATAATTTTTCCAAGGCCTTCCGAATGAGCCACATCAGAATATGGGTCACTACTCTCTCATTATCTGGAAGAAAAGTGAATGCGATCATGTCTGGTTTTTATGTTGTTGTTGTTGTTCTCTTTTTCTGGCTGAATACTTCGGTGCCAAAAAATGTGAAACTCAGATTTTGACACTTGTGGCAGTTGCGGTGGTTGCACAGATGATCAAGTTCATTCAGTCTAATTACTTCATTAACAGAGACCGAAACATGTACCATTTAGAGACCGACACTCCGGCCTTGGCACGCACATCGAACTTGAATGAAGAGCTTGGACAGGCAAGTGTTAAATATGGGATATATTTGCGTACCTTTCTTATGCTACAACTATTATGGCAGTGAGAGCTACCAAAAAAGTCATCAGGTCCAGCTGTGGGTGCTTGTGTATTCCTATTCAAGATATGCACTTGATGAAGTCTAGTTTGTCCTTCGCATGCACTATCAGTACAACAATGTTTTGCACACTATCAATTGTCCACATCTCTTCTGTTGGAAGACATGTAAAATCCTTCTTCTGCTCTTCTGAACTGCTGACGGCTGTGCAGTCTGCCTCCCAATGCTTTGCCCAATGCTTTGTAATTATACTGTGCTTGGCTATTGTCTCTTGTATGCACGTGTGGTTGGTAACATAAGCAGTCGTAAAAAGGTCACATTAGGAGGTTGGTCCTGGCTTTGTGTGGTTGTGGTTAAAAACTCATCTAGCAGTTGTGATCCCATTTCCAAGTGGGAAAGGGTGTCTCAAGGGAAGCTGAACTGGAAGAAGATGGGCAACTCCTCCTGAGCTCTGTGCTTCTCAATCTTCTTCCGGTTCGAATCAAGTGGTTCGTTGACTATCACCCACCATACTAAGGATGGGTTTCCCATGCTCATTTGTTCATGCCTCCATGAGCAGGTGGCTATTTCCCATGCCCATTTGTTCATGCCTTCATGAAACACCATGCTCATTATGTTTCACAATGATATTCTACTTTATGCAGGTGGAATACATATTTTCGGACAAGACTGGAACGCTGACGAGAAACCTGATGGAGTTTTTTAAATGCTCCATAGCTGGGACAATGTATGGCACTGGTGTAACAGAGATACAGAGAGCAGCAGCAAGAAGGCTAGGAACAACTCTTGACGAGG